CATGACCCGTAACGCTAATTAACTCTACAGCTCTACTTTCGGCGTGCGGTAATTGTGTTATATCGGGAAATAGAGCTCGCGAAATCAAAGTAACAGCTGCGCCTGTGTCTATGGTCAGCTGAACCTCTCTATTTTCTGTCTCGCAAACCATTGTACAAGGAGGCAATTCTCTACTCCTTGAGTTATTGATTCCTGCTAATTGGGTTGCATTCGGACCTATCGATGATCGATCGGTTTCAAAATTTTGTTCTCTAAACGTTACCGATGTGACTCTGTCCAAGTCTCGCGTTTGTTTTTGGTCTACGGATCTATCTTCCGGTGCGGGCAATGCTAAAAATTGAGGGGCGGCTACGTTGTTCGGCGCGCGCTCTGTATCGAAGCTACTTCCGGACCAACTCGGACCATAACGTGGGAAATAAAAGGGCAACGGAACACCTTGTCCGCTGTTTTCGCATGCAAATTGCCTAAATTGTATAGGGAAAGAAGGTATCGGTTCGGCCTGATTCATTCTAAAGGGGTTCGGCAGTTTTCTAATGGGGTTTTGCCATTCGGGTGCGTCTCGACTCGTTTCCCACCTTCCGTGAAATTGAGAAGGAGCATTTCCTCCGTACCACTCGAGGGGCGTTGGCATGTACTCTTTGTGTCCTGCACAACTAGGGTTCATCGCGTGAAAGTTTAAAAATCTATCTCCTCCTTCTCTCCAAGGGGGCATCAAACCTTGTCCCTGATTCCGATTAGAAGAGAAACCGTAGCAAGGATATCGCGCGCGGGGTTGTCCTTGCGGGTTAGCGGGTTGCGATCGCGAGGGAAATCGATATGATTCGCGGCGCGGGAGACTTGGGGGATAACGCGGATTTCTCATTTCATTTTTTATCCTTTCAGTTTCTTGTGTCCGGTTAACACGTGAGGGTTCCTCTCTTTGGGAATTGTTTATTGACTTAGGCGCTGGCGGTTGATCGAGCCTTTTTCCTAGGGTTGCTAATTGTTTCGACAATTGCGCGATTTTTGCATCGAGAGCCGATTCTCTCCGCGAATTGACTTCTTCTTACTGTGCACTGCGACCCTCTACTGCGTCGTCGACGCTGGCGACTACATTTCGTGTTTTTCCTACTAGCTGATCTATTGTTTCCTCGCGGATTGCTACTTTCAGCGCTTCCGCAAAGGTCGGCGGATCATGGGTCATCACCTGTCGCTTCAGCTTATCGTCAGCTCATGGAAAGTGGCCTCCATCAAACTGATTCCCAAGTGCAACCAACCAACAAACTCATCAGACTACAGACCCATCTCGCTCTTGCCGGTGATTGGAAAA